CAGTTGGTCAACTTCAGATCAATATATTAATCTTATGGTGTGGTAGTTCTCGTCAGCAAATATAGTTCTCGGCTTTTCACAATCATAAGAATGCATGACTAAAAGGAGAAATGTCAACATTTCACATGTGGATGTCATTGGGGTGGGAGTGTACAAAAGGAAAACATGGGCGCTTGCATCCAACTCTGTTGGATTCAGAGAGAATTGCAGTACCACAACCATGCTCATGTAAAAGCTCAAAGAAGGTAGGCGTCAATTGCCTGCAACTGCAACATATCTGGCATGAACGGTTAGGCTGAGACTCCGTCGTTGTATCTCGTGTGAATGGTAACACCAATATATCAAACGGGTTGTCATAGTAGTTGAACAGGACTGTGTACCTTAATGACTTAGGCGGCTGGACATTTTCTCGAATATGTTGCAGGCAGTAGAGCTGCCATCACTCTGGTACAGGCAGCCGAGTGTTGCTGGTGTAGTGAACGCCAGTGTAGTTGGCTAGGATGCCATTATCGTTGTCCCATTCGGCTTGGGCCTTGGGGGACGCCATCCCCTTCTGGGCAGCCGAAGCCGGCGGCCGGCGGCCGGCCATGGACAGCCTCCACGCCCCCTTCCATGTTTCGCCTGGACTGCCGCTGACGGCTGCACGTGGCGTGCTGGTGCGGCCAAGCGGACGGCCGAGCCCTGGGCGCCGTCAGCCCGTCACCGAGCAAGAGCTGGATGTGGCTTAGGCTGAGTCTGGATCCTCCTTCCCTTTCCATCCGCCTACACGCACGGGAGGCTCGAGCTCGATAGAGGAAGGGCTGAGGGCGGCTGGGCCGAGAGCGGGTAGATGAGGTCGGTAGAGGCGCGACAGGAGGAGAGCATGGAGGCTGAGGCGGTGCTACAGCCGGAGAAAGGCACGAGCGGCGCGGTGGGCGGATGCCTGAGCCTGGCTCTCAGTCACAGGCTGGCGGAGCGGCGTTGCGAGGCGGGGGAGATGACGTCGATGGCCGAGACTGCGGGTTGATTTCGAAATAATCTAAGGTGTTTTTTGCAAAATATACTGAGAGAGCCTCTGGAGCGCGGGTTGATTTCCGAAAAATAGAAGGGGTTTTTCGAAAAATGATCGTCTCTCGCCCGATCTGCGAAAAGCCCATGACGTGGCACGCTGGCTGGCCACGGTTTGGGCGCATGATTCATATGTAAAGATTTGACATCGAAGACATTAGATTCTTCGAGTCAAACTGGGATGCCCATGATGACTCAGATGGTGATGTTGTTCTCGACTGTTCTAGCTGCGCAAAAAACATCGCCAAGATCATATAAGAGCTATTATTGAGCCACTGATCAGGAACCAATTTGGTGAGGACATCCTTGACGAGTTGTTCGTTGTGTATGCCTCCATCCTTGCAAAGAACCTTGAGAAAGGTAAGGCCATGTGCCCTGTCATTGTGGTCACCTCGAAGAAATCCAAGCGCAGAAATTGACCATTAGAGCCACCTGCCAGTGTGCATCAGAAACCTCGTGATCTCCGGAAGCTGTAAGAGCTACGCATTCATGTTTGTAAAAATTCAAACCTATCTTATCGCTAATTCGCCGGTAATTCCTAGGTACTTCCTCTGTTTCAAATTATAAGTCGTTTTGACTTTTTTGTTCATCAATTTTGCTAGATGTACTAAAAAAATCAAAATGACTTATAATTTAGAACTCAGGAAGTACTAGCTTTTTAGCTGACGATATCATGCGTACGTTGCCACGTTGGTAGTGCTGGCACGAGACAGGATCCAGGGAGTCGAAGAGGAGTCGAGGACGAAGACTGATACGGGAGCGAGATCTACCGACATTCTGTCACAAGTGACGTGTGGACGGCCGCAAGTTCACCACTTCACCTGCCATTGTTGCCTGAATTGGAATTCGGCGTGCTGTCGCCGATCGGTCGAGAGATGGATTAGCATGCATGGATGCAATTGGTCAACTGGTGACCCGCTAACCGTGCAACTATAGTACCTTTTTTTCGATCAATGTGCAACTATATAGTATGATATCATCATATCTTGACAAATTTTATCGAATCCTTCTCAACGCTACGATTTTTCTTCTGAGATGCTTCGATTTGTAAACATCGTACGTGACAAATTGTGTGAAACCTTCTTAATTTTTTACCACAACCTCCATGTATGATATCATCACATCATGACAAATCTCATGATTTTTAGACTTCGTTTGCTTTTTTTAGAATTTAAAAATCAATCGGCCACACGTTTGTGGTCGTGTTTTCTAAACAAGATGTTCGAAATTTCTTTTCATTTCCCGAGTAAGGCCTCACACTGGACTTAATAACATGAATATCATTTTTTTACTCATTTTATTCTATTATTTGAATCACTTGTGGTTGAAATTTGACTTATACCAAAAAATTCCTAAAAATGCAATAAATTAATTAAATATAGCAAACTGATCCAGAAATATACCAAATTTTTACATGGAATACCACATGTTGTATGTGGAGAGTAGAAAAAGTTTCAAGGTTAGGAGAGAACAAAATGAAATTATTTGCCGAGTGCCACATGTTTACACTCGGCAAACATATTTCTTTGCCGAGTGCCACAGGTTTAGCACTCGGCAAACATATTTCTTTGCCGAGTGCCTGACTTCGCCGAGTGTTTTTTTGTCTCTTTTGCCGAGTGTATTTGTTTGCCGAGTGTTTCCACTGACACTCGGTAAATGTACTAACGGACGACACATGTACTAACGGATGTGGACTTTGCCGAGTGTCTAGCTTTTGCCGAGTGTTTTTTTTTCTCGTTTGCCGAGTGCCAAACTTTACCAAGTGTTTTTTGCCTCTTTTGTTGAGTGCAATTTATTTTGCCGAGTGTTTTTGTGACAGCACTCGACAAATAACTTCTTTGCCGAGTGCCCGAGAGAATACACTCGGCAAACAATTTAGCACTCGGCAAACACCCAGTTTTCGGTAGTGTATAATATCTACAGACAAATTTAATAAAGTTGTGAATTTATTTTTTGAAAAATAGATAGAGAGAGAATTCTAAGAGGAACACATAGGACAAACAAAAAATGTTAAAAAGAAAAGACAGGACAAACAAAAAAGGCCAAAAAGCAAAAAAAAGAGAGAAGGGGAAAAACTGCTAAAAAGAGAACAGACAAATAGTGATAAACTGAGAGAAATGCTAAAATAAAAAGCAGGACAAATATAACGGGAAAATATTAAAAAATAGAGGGAAAATGCTAAAAGAAGACACGAAAAAGGGGAAAGAGAGAAAAAGAAAATACTAAAAATAAAAACATAGGACAAACAAAAAGGGATAAGTCAAAATTTTATTTTAGAAAACAAGAGGAAAAAGATGCTAAAAGGGAAAAAACGGGACAAAAAGGAGGGAAAACTAGATAAAGAAAAAGAGGAGAGAGGGAAAAATGCTAGAAAGAGGACAAACAGAAAGAGAAAAGATACGACAAAAAAGGATAAATTATAAATTTATTTAAAAATGATAGGAAGAAATGCTAAAAGAGAAGACAGGACAATAGAAAGGAGAAAAAAACTAAACATGCTAAAAGTGGCCAAACAAAAAGAGAATAAAGACAGCAAAATGGATAAAAAGAAAGGACAGGACACACAAAAAGTTGTAATTGTTTCAAAAAAGAGGGAGAAATGGTAAAAGGACAAATAAAAGGGATAAATTGTATTTTTAGAAAAAAAGTTAGAAAATAATAAATTGTTAAAAAATAAAAAAGAGGGAAAACAAATAGGACAAAAATACGATAGAGGGAGAGCTTGAACCTCCGACCTTGTGATTAACAGACACAGGCTCTAATCAACTAAGCTACTCCAACTCTTCTTACTGTTCTCTAGGTAGGAAGTTTATCTAAAATGCAACAATAGTTGTTTATCCCAATTAATTGCGAATCTAGGCAGGATTCCAATATAATTTGCATGCACCAGAGATGAAACAAACTCTCGAGGGCCTGTTCAGTTAGTGTGGAATGAGGCCAGAATTATTGCTGCTGATCAATGTTATACAAATTAGATAATCGTTCCGGCTGTGAATTGTTCCAGGTGTCCATTTCGAGGTAACCGAGCAGGCCCTGAGTGATTTTCGATACCTTAGTAATGGTGCAAACTTTGGTAGAGTGATTTTCGACACCTTAGTAATGGCGCAAATGGCACAAACTTTGGTAGTGATTTTCGACACCTTAGTAATGGCGCAAACTTTGGTAGTGATTTTCGACACCTTAGTAATGGCGCAAACTTTGGAATATATTGTGGTGTATAACTCCGTATAATCGAAGCAAGACCATAGACTGAGACAGCGTCTGCATAGCCGATCCAATTCGGTTTTATGGAAGAATTTATAAGATCTGGTCTAGTAAATAAAACTTGCTCATGATTCTAAACTCACTTTTTGTGTAAGCAGATCCTAACTCCAATACATAGACAAAAGTTTCTCTGCACACGAGTGAAATAAAGGATACATTTGTCTACAGTCACTAAACTTTCAGCAGCGATTTAGTATTCGTAACAGAACACACTGGCGTCCCCAATTTGTCTCAAACAAGGCCCTCCTTCCAGGTGGCACTACAACATAGCTAGAACGAGAAAACACCATATAATCATTTAAAGCCTGCAGAACAGCAACAATGAAACCTAAAGTCTGAGAAATATTAGAGCTTTAACAATCAGTGATATTTGATGCTCTTTAGGTCAAATATTCAAGGATGTACACTTGGCATGGCATACAATCTAGACACCACTTCCTCATCTTGCCACACAAACATGCCTTGCGAGGTTAAAGGAAAGAATTACAACAAAGCATCAATGGCTTTGCAGATTACCAATGGTATCATTAACTCAATTGTTTTCTCTATACAATGCAATAGCTATGTACAACAGCTTATATAAGAATTCACAAATCTTCAGCACAACTAAGAAAAAATAAGGCAGCAATAAGATTTAACTGTGAGAAGTATAGGCTCCAAAATAAACCCAAAGAAATTGAGCTTCGTCATCATTCTCGGAGATCAGTCATATCAAACTTTATATCGGTGTCCATGTACACATGGGAGCACTGCTCATAGATTGGCGAACCATCAAGAGGTGCCTTATGAGGATGGAAACCTCTCTCTTGACAATCATGGATCACGCCCATACCACCTGGATCCGTGAGATGAAATATACCATGTTTTCTGGTCAAACAAATACACATAACCATGATCACAGTCAGATGTCTTCTGATGCTAAGATGCTTACAAACTACAGAAAGGGTAACACAAACTAGCAAGCTGCCAAACAACACAAAAGCCAGTTAACTCCAGGTACGAGAAGATTTGCCAAACCTATGGATAAAACAATAACCACAACCAAACAGGTTTACAACGTAGATAATTTATATTTTAAAGCTTGCAAAGCCAATGATGACCTAAAGAAACCATACATTCCTCAAACCAAATGAGACCCAATCTAGTGGAACACTGGAACTAGGCTCTTTTCATTAAGAAGGAAAAGGTGCACAAATTCGAGTCGAAGAGGACTCAAACCCTAGGTGGTTGAGATGCACTACCACACCTCCCACCTGAACCAGTTAAGCTAGTCACACTTCCTGAAACTATGTCCCTTACTAACCAAGTTATTTTGGAACATTGGTAAACATTGGAAAATAGATGAAACACTGAATAATTTGGCACCCATGAAATTAAGTATCAGGAAATGATGTACAGTATCATATATCAACAGAAGTGTTGAAAAAAAATGCAAATAATGGATATCAACAGCATAGATGGATAACCTTGTTGTGTCAGTAGGTGCCATAACTATTGCAATTGCTTCAGGTAGCATGACCTATCAGCAAAAAGAAAAGGCAAACCACATAATCAAAGTAAAACATTAAGTATTTTCAATTGATAGACCAGTAGATATTAAGCAAATTAGCAGGATGAACTTTTTTTTTTTTTTTTTGGGGGGGCACACTAAACTATTGCACACATAACAAGCGGATACCAAAAATTTAATTACTAGAAAACACTTTGGCAAATCTAATCTTTGGGTATGGATTAGTATTCCAGAAGAGGATTAAACATAATTAAACCTAGTGTGACCAGCCATTGAGCTTATTCTATTGAAGAATAGTAAAAGAACCAAATCTCATTGAGCTACTCCATTGGATCATTCAAATCTGGAACTATGAAAGCGCACTAAGAACATGTATTAGTATTGGAGAACATCTTCACAATAGCTAGAATCCAGTAAGTTTTTCCAAATTTAAACAATAAAAAGAATAGTTATGAATCAAATAAGATCAATGGCTGAGGGATTGGTTGCAGTAATAACCAGAGAACTGTGCCATCAAATAAGCAGAAACATATTATGAGATCCAGTCTGCCAGAATTACCTGATAAGAATAATGATTGTGGAGGTCAATGGAAGAAAGGAAGCAGGACTGTGTCGGATGCGTCTGGGGAAAAAAAACATTGAAGAATGTGATATTTTCTCTAGCATGAGTAAAGCAATCAGTCAACCAATGCAACCACAGTTCCAAGTAATCCCAAGACTATTTGCACTCTTGCAGGTACAAAAAAAAAACATCAAACACCACATGTAATTTAAAAGATACAACTCCTGAAAGATTGGAAGAATATTTAATACCAAAATTGTAACGGCCACATATAATATAAACATGCAAGTGCATGATGTCAAAGTTAAATGATAAATCATAGTGTAGTACATACAATGCTATGCAAACATGCTAAATGTTGGTCAAATTCTTATGTATGACCAATAAGATAAGACAAAAGCGCTGGATCAGGCACTGCTCAACATGCACAATGAGACTCTCAGCCTGGTGTAGCAGAAATGAAGACCATAGGCAAAAATCTATATCAGACACCCAAGCTTCCATGTTCCATAACAGGTCAAACCAAGCTAAAGATTTTTCATATCATAATATCCATATTTATAAAGCACTTGCAATGCTTAAGCAGATATTTTTGCACAAGGCAGAAGCAGCTTGAAAACAAGTAAGCATCTTCATCAGTATGTTCTTACAAATATTGAGTGTAGTCAAGGGCACAAGTGGGTATCCAATGGTGTTTTGTGGGTCAGCTAGCCTAGTTCATTTCTCTCCCTAAATTAATTACATGGCATGACATTCTAGTTCATCTTAACAAGTTTAAGGTTGACCCAATGACCCAAAAATGAGGGACTCGCATCCCTAAGTGTAATCCATATACCCTTTTTTTCCTTCTCTAGGGGATGGAGACATACTCCCTCCGTCCTGAAATATTAAGGTATCTGAGCAATTTTAGGACATATTATATGGTAAACAAATGCACATGTAACCCTCCCTGATTACCATATTTGGATTGGTGGTAGACATTAATGGTAGCCTGGTAGGTATGCATGTGAATGTTTCCTTTTAGAGGGTTTGTACACCTAAAATCCCTTATAATTTGGGACAAATTTGAATGCTTGGATACCTTATATTACAGGACGGAGGGAGTAGAGTACATCTACCTTATTCACTTCACTTGAGAAACCAAAAGAAAGTGTCCAAGTTAGATAGAACTCACATGAATCCAACCAAGAGTGAACAGTGAGCCTGTGTCCTGAACTTCAAATAGTTCTTCTTCATTTGTAGCTTCACACTGGACAAAGAAAGTCATGCCATTCAGTACTAAACTCAAGTACAGGGGTACAAGCGTACAGCATTGCATGTGTTGTTAACTTTGCAATAAAAAGAATAGGAATGGAACGAGGAAGACAAAGATAAAAAGTAAAAACTAAGATCCTACCGTATTAGATGTCGATTTCTGCTTTGGAATAATTAAGGTTGTCACATAAAAAGTTCTCTTTTTCTACATGAAAAAAATACGAAGTGTCAGAAATCCAGCAAACCACCATTCTTATTTCCTATAAGTGATGTATTCATACCAGGGTACCAGCAAGAACCCCACAGGTTTCTAAGCTTCTTTTGGTGTTTGACTCAGCAACCCTTAGAAAACACTCCATCAACTTGATCGGCTAACAACAACGCACAATGAAATAAACAATCAAAGTAAGTTAAAAAGGTACATGAGTTAGAATTTAGAAATGTTAGAAACGAAATAGATGGAAGAACCTAAATTATTATAGATAAAATACGTATGCATGAAATGCAATGTGATGATTGATATAGATTTTATAAAGGAAAAAGATGAATTTCAAACTTACAACATGCAAGTTCTGAAAACGGGCAGTTCCTGAGGTCGGAAGTCCTGGTGTTGGATCAGCAACTCTTGATGGAGAAATTGGCCTTTGTACCTCTGCCAGAACTGGTGGAGGAGAAGGTTGTTTGATATTCAATTGGAACAACTCTTCTTCCAAACTAGCAGAAGGAAGTGGATTGCGTTCTTCCGCTGGCACAGACCATCGACCATCATCAAGAGAGAGAACAGATTTCATATCATCATTGTCATTTGAGGAGCTATCTGGAGGTGGAGGTGCAGTACTGGGACCATGCGAATCATCTTGGTTCAAGATGGATGGCACTAAACTGCAGAAGCAAAGCATCTGATAATGTCAAGCAATAGGAAACAAAATGGCATAGCTATGAGGATGGACTAGTTTCCAAATAGACATGACTAACTGCATCTCCCTCCAATCATTTTCATACATGTCTCCTCTAGTCTAATCTCATACACAAGGCTAAGTTTCTCTTTTAACTTCGGTGATCAAGTAATCTTTCTTTCAAAATTCTATTTGACAGAGTCCACTTGAGCAATACATGTTCAGGCGCCTTTACGTTGGTACAAAACATTTAAAATATTTGTGCAAATTTGTAAAAAATAGCTAAAATTTGTAAAACAGAAAAACCATTACAACATTACTCCATAACTAAGAAACAGTAAGCTTCATTCACCTTGCCAATATCTCATGTTTACCATTAGTAAATTACTGTAAAAAAGGGCGTACCCAGTGCAGAGAGCTCCCGCTCTGTGCGGGGTCTGGGGAAGGGTGTCAGTGGCAAGCCTTACCCTCGCCTGTGCAATGCGAGGAGACCGCAACTCGAACCCGGGACCTTCCGGTCACAGGCGGTAAGACTCTACCGCTTGCACCAAGCCCGCCCTTCATTAGTAAATTACTGTAACCATATGAAATTATTGTCATGCATTGTGGAATAATTATTGCTAAAATAAAATTGGGATCTCCAAATGTACAGGTACCTTGTAAAAACAAACAGAGAGGAAATCAAAATATTAACGAACGCATAGGACATACATGTGTTTATATTGCCCAAGTACAACATAAACCCAAACATTGAATATTAAAAAGAAACCAATATAAAGTACAAATGACATAAATCTTCCAAAAAATGATCATATTTCATGATTAAGGAAATAAAGGTATTGCCAGATCTGCATTTTGAACATAGAACAGTAGAATCTCTCCAAATCAATGAATTTTAAATACAACAGCCCTTTGCTATTTTTTACAACAGTTGGATTATTTTGGTTTTCCAGTAACCTGATACATGTTGCTGGGACAGTATAATTTTTTAATCCTCTACAACAGGATTTAGAATGAAAGAATTTCACATGAAACAGTTCATATCCTAAGGTATCCCAGTTAAGAGGCATAACTGGTGGAGGTAGAAAGGAATTACACATTGCAACAGAAATGAGAACAATGGAAAAAGTATACTTCTGCTAAAACTATCGGAGGTAATGAGCTATCACCTTGTTATATCATTTTGAGTTAATTCAAAATTGCTTGGATACTGAACCTGTAACAAGCAGTAGGTAAATGCATAAGATAATGCTTGTATGTTATCAAATTCTCAACAAACATTAAACAATGAAGGAAAATAACTATACCTTAATTCCAGTAACAGGCCCATTAAATCGGCCATTAAGACCATTAGGTCCTAATATGGAGTGTCTAGCTAGTGTTTCTTCTTTTGGATATGGTAGATTCATAAATCTGCATAGTTTAGATAACAGATGACAAGGTCTATTGCTCAAAAGTACCAAAAGAAAATAAAAAAAGATCAGGGAAAGGATAGGCCATCTTTTATCTAAAGGGAGCATACTGGACAATATGAACAGTCTAGAGAAGAAAATAATAGTCAGACGAAGGGATAGTCTAACTATGATTCTGACAAAGCACATAACTACATAAGTTATTGACCTCTTGCAACAACAATAATTTGTAAGCCTCCTGTCTTTTTCCTCATGCAAGAATGTTGTTTTTTTAATTTACAAATATAAAGCATTTGGAATGACCAATCAACAGAAAACCCTAGATGCAGTGTTATTCTAGGAGGTATAAATTCATTTATCTAGTTGTAGGAAATTCAGAACATATCGATAAACGTTTCAAAAAAAATGTATTGATAAAAGTAATACTGACTGATAGGATAAAGAGAAACTACGTTAACTAATTATTAAAAAAATGAACTGCTCAACTAGAGCTAGATCCTTGAACTGGTAACCCAAGCCATCTAGTGAAGATTCTGAGCAATGGACTATAGTCATGTTTGGTTACAATTGAGGAAAAACAAAATAATTCTAAACAATATATGCTCTGTTTCTTGCAAGCAGCATTAATAATTAACTTTTCTTTCTCAAACACGCCCTAAGAATTAGGTTACTATATGAGGATCATATGCTCCCTATAAGCCAACAATTTTGCTTTGCAATCATCAAGCTACTACATTGTACTCCCTCTAGTTCCATAATTCTTGCTGTTTTGGACAAGTTTGAGGCCAAACTTTTAGAACTTTGATTGACTATCACTAACTTTTAAAATATTATTTTGAAGACATCATGTACAGATTAGTCATTTAGTCTTAAAAGGTACTTTGATAAAATCATATATTTGTTGATTTTTTGGTATATATTATAATAGAAAATCATAGCCAAAGCTATGTTCGGAAGGCCGTGTCCATGTCCAAAACAACAAGCATGGAAGTGGAGGGAGTAGTTTGTTAGCTAACTAACATGTCAGCTAATCTTCCCTTAACGTAAGTGGTGGCTAGCTGTTAAATAAGAAAATAACTAAATGTCCACACTATAGCTAAGTAAAGTGAAACAATAACATATCACAGACATAAAAATGACCAAAAGGTATGCATACTGTTTCTGGACGCTCGGTAACGATGCCACTTGTCTCCCGGCATGGAAGGGTTTTTGCAATGCTCCATTAGTGCTGCCTACAAATGGCTAAAGAAGAAAAAGAATAAGGAGTTATAACATAAGTAAAGCACTTGAGAATCTAAAAGTACATATTCTCCATCTCTTCTTCCCAGAATGCTTCACAATATTACAGGCTAGAAAATGCAGTGTGATGCAGTGCATACCTGTGGAGTATAATAGCTTGGAGTACGCTGCTCTATCCTACGAGTTGTACCATAGTTTCTATTTAGACTATTAGTATTAGATTCCACAGTACCTCCTCTGTTATGCTCGGCAACCTGCCGCTGCACAACTGGCTTCAATGTCTCAAGCTCTTTGATAACATCAATAAGTTTCTGCAACAAAAGACCATTCATTTTTAGATAAACATCTGGGGAAGATCATACAAGACCAGTCACAAGAAAGGAATTCAGAGATGAATTGGAGAAGGCAAAAGAACATCAATATTTGCAAGGTGTTCTACGTCTAAGTGCCCAACAACTGGGATCAGAAAAGACTGTTCCTCAAAAGTATATCTAAGGCTAGAGATTTGTGATATCCAATCATGCAAAATTGTACACTTCACCAACTTTGAATAACAAAGATAATCTCTAAAGTTGAGCTGAGAGAAATTACATCAAAAAATGCCTTTTCTCTTAACTTGAAGGCATGGTAATCACGATGCTTTGGAATCGTCTCGCACAGCAAGCTGCAGCCAATCAGATGTCAACTATAACATCAATACAGATGACCAACAGTGAGTATAAATGTGACTGAATGCCCAGCCCACCTCGAGTATCTCAGAAGGATGACATACAGGTCGAGGAAGTTACTCTCGTTCCGATATATATTAGCCTGCCAACAACATCGGAGTACCAAAATTAAACACAGTCTAATTCAACACTTTAGCAGTCGCATTAACGACGTAACAAAAATAATCCCCAATTCGTTGAATCGCATCGCCCAAAACCATCGAGGAGAACTGCGGCCAATCGCCCATTACACAACCAGAAAGCTATGCGTTAAGCGACAAGAGATGAGATCTAGAAACGAAGGAGCGATCCACCACGCTGGGCTCCGGGGGATGGTTAGGGTTTCGACCTGTCGGAGGAGGCTGCTCGCGATGCGGAAGTAGTAGGGGAGGCTGATGCGGTGGTCGACGGCGATCGGCCGCGCGCACGCCTCGATGTTGATGGCACCGGCCCTGGCTGGCTGCGGTGGCCCCATGGCCTCTGCTCCGGCGAGGTCCTCTCCTCTGCCGGCACGACGAGCTCGTGGGCGACGCGGGGAGGAATGGAAGTAGACTTCGGTAGCGGCTGCGGTCTAGTTACCTTTTGAGCTTGTGCCCTTGAAGATCGGCAAATTTAAGTTTGACGGGTTTAAGGCCCCGTTTGGCAGGGCTTCTCCAGCGGCTTCAGAGCCGTTTGGAGCCGTTTTCTGCCAAACGGGGTAAAATGAAACGGCTCCACCGATGAAGCCCCTAAAAACGTGCTCTCACAGAGCTTTGAGGTGGGAAGGAGCCAAAAATAGTGGCTTCTCCCGGCTCCTCCTACAGGCTCCTAAAAACATGCTCTCACAGGGAAGCCATTTTGCCAAACAGTTTACCAAAACCGCTTCAGCTCCACCGGTGGAGCTGTTCGTGGAGCTAAAGCAAAAAAAAATGGCTTCACTAGTGAAGTGAAGCCCTGCCAAACAGGGCCTAATAAGGGTACTCCCTCTGCATGGGAAAAACATCCAATTCTAGCATATTATCATGCTTTAATATATAAAATGTTTGACCAATTATAAATAAAAAAATATTTATAATATTAAATAAATATCATTAGATCAAATATAAAATATATATTCATAATAAATTAATTTGAAGTCATAAATATGAATATTATTCACTAAAAACTTAGTTAAATATAAACAATTTTATCTGACACGTAGTCCATAGTTGCATATTTTTCTGGATAGAGAGAGCATAATCTTTTATTTATTTTCTTAGAAACCTTTATGTTTTTTTCTTTCAATTTTCAAAAGAAAACTTTATGTTCACTTTTTGTAATACTAACAAAAGTGCACCTGCGTTGTAACATGTCGGTGATCTGTTCTCTCTCACTCCTCACCATCTCTTGATGCGCTTGACCATGACATTGACACATGATTGACTTCGTAACAACTTCGAAGCACCCATAGACACATATATTAGTTAGTTATCCACCTTTACCGTCGTTGGGCATTACTATAATCTACATATTTTTTAGGGTTTTTCTTTTCTCGTAGAAAAAATTGGTGATCCTAGTAGTTTTTTTTCTAAGATGGTAACTACGGCTATCTATTTAGAAATAGTATATATCTAATTACATATTTTTTTATAATTTAAAATAGATGAAGTATATGAAAAGCTTGGGAAACTATATCTTTCTCTAGGTGTCGGTGCGAAAAGTTTTACCGTGCGTTGTGATCGGTGTGGTCTAGCACTCAATGACACATGATTTATACGGGTTCAGGCAACGTGCCCTACGTCTAGTTTGCTGTGAGGTTACAAACGAGTAAGAATAAGAAGGAAGATGTTAAAGGCCCGGTCGAACATTGAACTGAAGGGTCGAGAGTGACGGGGACTCTAACGTGCGCTAAGTATTGGAGCATGAATTCTATGTTGCTTTAGAGTTCTAGAGCTGTAGAGCTATTCAAATGCTCAGATTGCTTGGAGCCAGCTAGAGAGAGTTTGAACGACCGTCCCTATTGGGAGAGGGCGCATCCCCTTTTATAGGTGAAGGGGATGGCCTTACAAGTCAGAGAGAGAATGTGTATGTGCGCTACCTAGTCTTGTTTCCCATACTATCGGGTATGAGACGGTTGTCGGCGCCCACAATACTGTTCATGCCCAGACATGTCTGGCAGGCTTTACCGTGTTCATCTGGTATGGTAAATGTTGGCTCCTACAATACTATAAGATAAATGTCGACGCCCATAGCACTGTTTGGGTTCTGACACTCTTGGAATGTTGCATAGTACCCGTCTAGCATGACCTGGTGGCACTGTCCTACAAGTGTGTAGGGTATGGTACTCGGTATTGTAGTTAACTTAAGCACCTTACCTTATCTGCTCTACCTGATCCCCAGACCTGTACCGAGCGGGCGTCCCCAGTCGGTTCCGACCGTGTCGATCGGAGAAGAGCTACAAGTAGAGGTTCGACGTATTCCCGGTCGGAACAGCGGGTCGGAGTCGGAAGCGAGCGTCGTCCCCTCCTTGGCCAGGCCTTCCGGTCGGAGACTAGATCGCTCTTTCTAGCCTGTCGTTAGGTAACTAGGTCGGCCCGGGAGATGCGCGTTGTCGCTACGCCGTCTGCTGGGTTGAGTTTTTGCTAGGAAGTGGGCCCATTTGGGACCCTGGGTTTATGAACCCGACAGGAGCCCCCAAACCCTTTTGGGACTTTTGTGAAGTCGTGAAGGGGTTGTTTACACTCGTTTTTCGAGCGCACCCGATGGGTGTAAGATCGTGGGTCACTGGTCGAGCACGACAAAGCGTGGACCCAGGCGTCAGCGCGCGACCGAGGGATCGAGCGCGACGGAGCGTGGACCTAGGCATTGGGCGTGGCGGAGCGTGGACCCAAGCGTCGCCCGTGGCCTGGGGGTGGGGCACGGACCCAGACGTCGGCCGTGGCCGAGGGGTGGGGCGCGGCGGAGCGCGGACCCAGGCGTCAGGCGCGGTCGAGGAATGGGGGGCAGCGGAGTGCGGACCTAAGCATCGAGCGCGGCCAAGGGGTCGGGCGCGGCGAAGCACAGACCCAAGCGTCGGGCGCGGCCCAGGGGTAGGGCGCGATGGAGCGTAAACCTAGGCATCTGACGTGGCCGAGGGGTCGAGCGTGGCAGAGCACGAACCTAGGCGTCGGGCGCGGCCAAGGGGTCAGGCGTGGTGGAGCATGGACCCAGGCGTCGGGCGTGGCTGAGGGGTCAGGCGCGGCAAAACACGGACCAGGCATCGGGCGCGAACGACGGGTCGGTCGTGGTGGAGCGTGGACCCAGGCGTCGGGTGTGATCGAGGGGTGAGGCGCGGCGGAGCGCGAACCTAGGCGTCGGGCATGGCGGAGCACGGACCCAAGCGTCGGGCGTTGCCGAGGGGTGGGGCGCGGTGGAGTGCAGACCCAGGCGTCGGGCGCGCCTGAGGGGTCGTGTGCGGCGGAGCGCGGACCCAGGCGTCGGGCGTGCCCGAGGGATCGGGCACGGCGGAGCGCGGACCTAGGCGTTAGGTGCGGCTGAGGGGTCAGTCTAGTTTCGTGTGTTACCCCATCCATGGTTTCCATAACCGGAGGGATTGAGCTAACGTCGCTTGCCTCGATGGCTGGAGTGACACACTCAGTGAGCTCACTAACGAGTACGTCCGAGTGGAATTCGGGTTCGTTGTTCGTAACGGGGTCAGAATAGCCCTCATGTGGCATTCCACTACTCTTAACCCACCTCCTGGCTGATGCCCGAGCCATTCTAGAGACCGATTCAGGTGGCCCGCTGGCCTCCACTCGATGGATATTCTGTGGGCATGGCTTGAGGTTAGGATCGAACGAGAAGGTCGAGATGACCCTGTCCGCTTCGAAGCGGATCGGGCAAGGGCCGCTGGGGCTCATCTGCATTTTCTCCCCTGGCTCTATTTGACGTGAGGTGGCCTCGAGCCCTTCGTGGGCCGGTCTTCGAACCCCGGTCGGTCATCGTTCATATCGAATGAGGCGACTACCGCTTCGTGACGCAACACGAAGCGTTGTGATACAATAATTGCATATGCGATGCTTGGATGTATGGGATGAATGTATGCATGAGAATGGATGAATGTATGATCATGCATTAGAAAATAAAAAGGAGTTTTTGTAGAGTTACCTCGATGGCTCGAGTGATGGGTTTGGGGAGCTCTTATCGGATATGTCCGAATAGAACCCGGGCCTGTCATTCGTGATGAAGTCGGCATAGCCCACATGGGGCATCCCACTGCTACTTACCTATCTCTCGGTAGCCGCCCGAGCTGTTCGATCGACTCAGGTGACCCATTGGTCTCTCCTCGATGGAGATCCAGTTGGTGGGCCCTTCCAAACCCTGCCTGGGAAGGCAGAGGGTCGTTTGCGTGTGGTTGCGCCTTGTTTCCTGCGCCCAAGCTGCGGTAGTGGTGGGCCCTGTCTAGGCCACATCCCGTTTAACCAAACGATGTTTCATTAGGCAGGGCGTGACCCATCAGTCAGGACGCGTCCCACCACATGCCTGTCCGTATTAAATAGGGGGAAAGGAGAGAGTTTTCCTCCCATTCTTTCACCTTTCTCCAACTGTTGTCTCTTCTCCTTCTTCCTTTTCATCAAGCCCATTCGTGCACCGCGGCGGTTTCTAGGAGAGAGGGTAAAGTGAGGGAGAGAAGAACTCATAGATTCATTTGTGAATCCAGGGTGCGATGTCGAACTGGAGGCCATCCAACGTGGATGAGAAGATGTTGGCCGCCTTCATCGAGAAAGGGCTGCTCCCGTCGAAGGAGGTGGCGCATTGGAGGGCTCCTACGCTGGGAGAAGTTGTTCCGCAACATCAGGCCGACGAGGTCGTCTCCTTCCTCGCCTTCCATGAGCACGAGCTTGGGTATCCTGTGCACTGGTTCTTGCGTGGGCTCCTCAATGAGTGGGGCCTAGAGCTACAGCACCTCAACTCGACTGGGGTGCTGCACATCATCGATTTTGTCACCGTCTGCGAGGCCTTCCTCCGGATGGAGCCTCACATGGACCTCTTCCGACGGATCTTCAGCGGGCGAGCCTTGTCTAAGTGGAAGCCGCCTAGAACCGCGCTGGTTGGGGATTTCGCCTTGCAGAAGAAGCCAAAGCCATCGACCCCCTATCCTGCATACTCCCCCTGTGACTCCAATCGGGGGTGGCATGACGAGTGGTTCTACATCAGGAACCCAGCGGAGGCACCATTCCCGTCGTTCACCAAAAGAAGGCCGGAGAGGAGGGAAAGCTGTTCATTGGGTCCTACCGACTGACAGAACAAGTTGGAGGTTATCGAGGCGGAGCTTCAGAAGCTTGTGCAGCATGGCCTCGATGGGTTGCGGGTCTTCCACACCTTCTTCCACCATAGTGTCACCCTGCTGGCGGAGAGAAGGCGGCCGATGTGGGAGTACTCTGGCCCAATGGATCCCAACCGCGCATCGCCGAAGGAGTTGCCAAAGGATGAAGTTTGGACTTGACTCGATCGAGTGCTGCAACTAAGGGATAAAGA